TTCAGTAACAACACAGTCGGAAATCTTGCCTGGAAAAGAATTCATAATTGTATTTTCAATTTCAGTTGCTTCGACTCGTTGGCCACGTATTTTAATTTGAAAATCAATACGTCCAATATAAAAAAGCTTTCCTTGCGCATTGTATCGAGCTAAATCACCTGTTTTTATATAAACTTGATTATTTATGGTCGTAAACTTCTTGTTGTTATGTTCAGGAGCATTTAAATAGCCGGTAAATAAAGTTGGTCCTTGTAAAAAATACATAATATAAAAGAAAATAATCGAGATGGACACTACTCACCTCCTATATGAATTTGCCCAATTTTACTTGAATTATCTGTAGTATTAATAATCTTGCCATCATCATCGATTAGCAAACATTGAATGTTTGGTAATGGATAACCAATAGGAATATCTGTATCTTTGATATTTAGTAATTGGCATCCAAGAGCTCCTTGACTTTCACCTGTACCATATAGAACACAAATTTGAACATTAGAAGAGCCTAACAAATTAACAAATTGAGTCCACTGTTGTGGTTTCATTGCTTCGCCTAAGTTATGAAAAACAAGTAAAAATTAAGACGTCAGAAATAGATCCGAAGTTTATTATTACCCGCCGTACATAGATGACGCACAGTATCGAATGTTTTCGTTTGCTGACTATTTTCAATATAATTAGTAAGAGCTCGAATTATTGCAGGACCTATTAGTAATGTCGTTATTTGTTGATGTATCAGAGTTTGAGAAAAATAGGCCATATCTAAATGACCACCTTGTCGAAGAAGCACAACAGTGCCTCCAACGACTAATGGCAGTGAGATTTCAATAATATGTAAAGTCCATGCGCTTGTAGCAACTTGAAGAACAAGATCTCGAACTGTATACATACTGACATCCCATCGAATATAAGAAGCAATACTAGCCGAAAAACTTCTATGCGTATGAACAATTATTTTTGGTGGTCCGGTAGTACCAGAAGTAAAAGTGATGAATGCAGCACCATACTCTCTAGAAATTGGAAGATCGCTCATGTCTTCGACATCCAACAATGGAGGAAGAATATGATCCAATATAATAACATGCTGAACAGCTGCTATTGGAAATTGGTTACGAGTTTTCTCATGTAATAAAGCATATTGACCTTGCATTTGTTCGAGAAGTATATTGAGACGTTTGAACGGTATTGTTGCATCTAGTGCACAATACACTCCACCTATACATATGATGGCCAAAAAGCCACATATCATTTCAAGACTTCGTTCAACAAATTGATAGATTATTTGACCTTGAACTACACCTAATTGATATAATTGATATACAACATGTTCTACTTGCATAATCAACTCGCTATAAGTCCATACTTGATCATCAAGCACTATTGCTACCTTCTGAGGATATAGTCGAGCAATATTAAATAAATTACGTATCACATAGCATGACGTTGTCATGTTTTAAATAATATGTTGAAAATTAAAATTGAAAGCTTAATCTAAAAATAGTCGATAAAAAGATTCATACAAACAGTCTCGTTTTATTTAAAGGAATCTTAAACGTCGAAGAGAGTTAGGATTTTGTCTATTTTCTTGGGTTGAAAATAGAAAAATATCTTTACAAAAAAATTCTCATTCAACGCAGACGAGTGTAGATGTGGTTCTGGGTGTAGGTGAGTGTTTTAGGTGAATTACTCACACCCTCAAGATATATGGTATTTTCTCTCTTCGAGTTGCTCTTTTTCCTTATTCATACACAGTATATATTAAGCCAACTATTTGTCATGGAATGATCATTTATCCTAGTTTCATCTTCTGAGTTATTCACTTAGAGTGATTCAATCTCTAGGTCAAACTACACGTTCACACCAAGTATAATGTATTCACATATATTAAACAAATTCTGAATATATTGTATAAAAACTGATCGAAAAAGAATACAGCATAAGAGTTCATTCTATTGGGACCTTCACGCGCCTGCTACTAGCCATACCTCGACTAGATTATCCATTATAAAGATTCTAAGGCAAAACGCGAAAGAATACACTGAGCGTCTATCAAACTACGTTACAATTTCAAAATAGAATTTTTTGACAAGAAATACAAATACTCTTATCATAGTAAAGTAATTTACTGGTACTATAAGCATACGAGTGTTATGTAGACATTATATCCATACCACACCTAGATCGTCACACACTCTCACGATTCAAAGAATAAAGGAAAAAAATCAAGATATAACTATTTTTGTTCTCTCACTAACGCGAATGGATAAATGAGGCAAGCAGTACTCCTTTCATTTTCATTTGATTTTAGTCTCACCAGATAAACAGCAGCAGATCCAGTTGAATTTTACGTGTTTCTTTAAATCTCATGTTTACTTTACTGTATGATGGAGAATTAGTGTGAGATAAATCTGAACGAGTCTAACTTCTCTCATTAAGAAAATTGAACCAAAAAATCTTAAGCTTGTTTTTATTCTGATACTACTAAAAATCGGTTACAACTAAATAACTAGTTTTAAAATATTCCAGATTGTTTTTAAATGATTTTAAGGAAGTTTTCGCGAATTTAAGTTAGTCGTTTTCCTTCTTAGAATGCACTGTGATTTGTGACAAACTAGACTGATCATTCCAGAAATTTTGAGCAAGATGATCTGCTGTTGGATGATCAAAGAATGACTGAGTATTGATTGGAGTCGAAAACTGATCTTGCAACAATGTCAATGCCTGTAGAGCCTTTAGAGACGTACCACCTTGTTCAAAAAACGATTTGTTTATATCTATGCTGATCATTGCACAGTTGAGAATTCGAGAGAACACGATTATAATACGATTGAGAAGTTCTTGCTCTTGTTCTGTTTGCTCTGACACGACTCTAGGGTATAACGTGTTCATTGGCTGTAAGAAAGATTACCTTCGTATCCAAAATGCAAAAGATTCAAACTTACGATATTAGAAGTTACTTCTTTCTCCGTCTTGTATTTGTCTTTCTCATCTATTGCAATGAGTTCGTTCAATGGTTTTTGCAGTCGTTGAAATAGCTTTTCATCGGATGTATCATCAAATAGTTGAGTCAGTAAATCAACGAAGTTCATAGCATGCATACTAATCGTGTTCAATTCAAAAACATCAAGCATATAATGCCATTTACACTCGATGGTCTCGGTTGCATTGTCATAACCTAATGAAACTATTAAGTCGAACTTATGTCCGACGCTATGATCAGGCAAACTATAATGAGAAAGCTCACATGAGTTATCAAGTGTTATACCATTTAAATGCTTGAAATCTTTGAATGCGTCAATCCTAAAGAGTGTTTGGATAAATGGAAATTGTAGATAGAGAGTCTGAACACGGTGTAAAGCAATCAGTTCGTCATAAGGCAAATAAGCGTATTGAACACTTGCTAGAAAGATCTTTTGTATTTGTTGAAGGAGGTCAATAAACGATATTTGATTTAGAGAGTCGATCGAAATGCGACATGGGAGTATGTTAGCAAGCATGCCTAGCATTGAGACAAGTTCTGGACGATGTCGATTTAAATGGATGACTCCAATACATGCATCTCTATTTTTGCATGAAAACTGGTTCAAAAAAAGATAGAAACATGTAAGACCCAACTGGAAGAGAGTAGTGTTGTGCTGCTGAGTAAAAGCAATCATTGACTGAGTAGTTTTTAGCGGAATTGTAACAATGAATGTCGATCCTTGACCAGTACGACGAGCCGATAATGATGTCTTTTGTACAGCACCGAGCTCCAATTTTCGATCCCAACCATAACTTCGCAAGGTTTCTCGCCAATAGTTTTGAGCGTCTGTTATCGATAATGTTCGTTCGTACACAGCGTAATCAATATACTGCAATTGTTGTGGTTGTAGATTGTCATTCGAATAAGCCAATTTAAATTCTTTCAAAAAAATGTCTCTTGACTGTCCATCGAATGATCCATGGTGGAAATTAAAGATTACTATATCTCCAACAGACATAGCATCTTCGTCAGTGTGACGTCCGCGAATAAAGTGACATCGAAAGACACCATCATGTTCCGTATCAAATGGCTTTGTTACCTCATTATGAATTAATAATATCCGTTCATTTTCATTATCAAAAGTACTGAGATGAACAGGATAATAGTATGCATATCCTAGGATTGATTGGTATAGACAGCCACGTTCCTTATTGAATATCAGTCGGGTACGAAATGTCGAGTGTTGAGCAACAATGCAGTCCAACGCCTTGAGGCATTTTTTAATCGAAAAATGGCCCGAATTAATTTGAAATGTAATTGGAATAGTATAGCTAAACACATGTGGCCAAGTAACAAAACGAGTACGTTCGGCTAACCAAACAGCCATTTGAGCGTATGAAGCGGGACCTACTCGAAGACAACTTTTATGACTTGTGTTAATCGAGATTAAAAAAATACGATATACTCTTTCCTTTTTCTAGTTTCCATCGGACTTAAGTATTTCTTCTTCCCAACTGTTCTTCTATTCACACGTTGCCGGAAGAGTTTGAAATCCTATTTATTTACTAAACTTTTCAGGAAGAATCCGTTAGACACATAAGAGCTCATCACATGAAAAAGCTTCTAGACTAGAATAATCCTCACAGCATTTGGGCACATGACCTTTATGTATTGAGATATTGAATTTTTTCATATCTACGCTAATTATATTTTATTTAGACTTATTTTTTCTTAAAAAGGCTTCTCGTCAGATGTTCTATAAAATCGTGTAGTTTTTGTTTATGTAACGAACATATATCAACTCCTTAAATACGCTTCGAAAATGTAGTGCACGGTGCACAATTTTGTAAAGACATATTTTCGCTGAAGTATGTTACCGAAAGTGGTGGACGTTTTTCTAATGAGTATGATACATTTTGTAGAGCATCATAAAGCCCAAGCTTCTGAAAAAAACTAAGTCTAAATGAATGATAATTAGTAAAAATATCATTAATACACTGACAGGTCTATTCTCCCTGAAACATCTGATGTATTGAGACTACATACCTTGAACAAGATTAAGTGCATTCCAATGAGTAAATGTTTTCATTTCTGGATCTTTCAGATGTCTGACGTGCTCGACAATCGTTGGGTTAACGATAAAATCGAGCACGTTGAGCTGCTTGTGAGGAGCCAAATAAACTTGATAATAGTTGAAAAGTTGCATTATTGACAGGGATGAACCGCCTAGTGCAAAGCAATTTGCATCACGAGAAATAGCATCGAGATGTAATAAAGTACACCAGAATCGATGCACTTTCTCTTCTAACTCTGAAACTGGTTGTTCTTCGTAAGTTTCAGTGAGTTTTGTTGATGTACAACTAGACAATGGTGATGGTGGCGGAAGTCTTTTTCTATCTATTTTCCCGTTTGTATTAACTGGAAAACTATCGAGTACAACAAAATGAGATGGAATCATATATTGACGAAGATGTGTATTGCAATATTTTCGAATTGATTCGATATTAATATCCAAGTTTTTTGAGACCAGATAAGCAATGAGACGCTCTTCGTTTTCTGTAGATTTCATCACAAGACAGCTTGAGATCTCATTGGATAATGACGCAATAATTGTATTTTCAATTTCAGCTGCTTCTACTCGTTGACCACGAATCTTAATTTGGAAGTCGGTACGTCCCGCAGGTACAACTTCTCCATGACTATTATAATATCCTAGATCACCTGTTTTAATGTAGGCTTCGCTATTAATAGTGATCAACGTAGTAGCAGTACGTTGTGGATCGTTCAAATAGCAGTTAAATACACTCGGACCTACTCAGTAATATAGCAGAAAACTATAAGATTCTGACACTACAATTAGACTAAATACTACCGACCTCCTAAACAAATTTGACCGATAGCACTGCATTTTTGTAAAGTTGTATAGCTGATTACTTCTTCGTGTTCATCAATCAACAAACATCGATAACCAGGTAATGGATAACCGGCAGGTATCATATTATCATTGATGTCGAGATCCTGAATTTTACGACCGAGTGCTGTATTACACTCAGACAAGCCAAAGCAAACAAATAGTTGAATATAATTCTCATTAAATAAGGGTAGTAAGTTTTTCAATAGTCGCGCACTCATTGATTCACCTAAATCAGACGTTAGAAACATATGTTTTACAGAAATATTGACACACACCTGATACGCATAACTTGCATACTCGTTTGAGCAGTTCCGTTTCTTGAATTACCTCGGCATAATTGATAAGAGCACGAGCCATTCCCGCACCAATCGTAAGTGTTGTTATTTGTTGATCAAAAAGAGTACGTGAAAAATAGGTCATGTTCAACTGACCACCCGCTCGCATAAGTACGAGAGTACCACCTAGTACTAGTATCGGAAAAATTTCGAGCAAATGCATGGCCCACGAACAAGCAGCTATTTGTAGAACTTGGTCTTGAGACGAATAGAAACCGACATTCCAATGAATAAGAGCATCAACACTCGCCGAAAGACTTTCATGTGTATGAATAATTGCCTTTTGCTGTCCAGTTGTGCCCGATGTGCAAATGATATACGCGGCACCAGCTTCGTTGCAAGCGAAAGATTTACTCTTCTTAGTAGTATTCATTGACAAGAAAAATATTTCTTCATATAAAATAACTTTTTTCACAGCTGATGATGGAAATTGATTTCGTGTTTTTTCATGTAACATAACGAACTGTCCTTGTGTTTGATCAATAAGCGAGATGAGACGTTCCAATGGATCAGCTGGATTTAACGAGCAGTATACACCACCAGCACATATAATACCCAAAATACCGCATACCATTTCCAGACTTCTTTCAACAAATTGATAAATGATTTGGCCTTGAGTGATTTCAAATCGATTTAGATACTGAACCACTTGGTTGACCTTCTCAATCAATTCACCATACGTCCAGACCTGATCTTCAAGCACTAGAGCAACTTTCTGAGGAACTTTTTCAGCTGTATTAAAGAGTTCTCTTAGAATATTGAACGTTAATGGCATCTTCGACGAAATTTTGTTTATGAATGTAAACTCCAAAGTGAAATCTGAAAAGCAGAATAATACTACCATTAGTATTTGATGACAGTCAAACCAGAGGATTATTTCACCTATTTGCAACCGTTATCATTTGTATAAAAATGCAGAATAAAATCTCTCTTACTGAAATATATCATTTAAAACACTAAATAGTATATATTACGGTAAGGACATTTATCGCATTTCACACAGATGTACCGTTTCATGACGAATGAGAGAAGTGATCTTCAAAATATCCTATCAATTAAATATCATCGAAACTCTAAATAAAGTACTCAATACTAAGACCAATACGAATCCATTCTAACAAAAATATGAACGTATTCTATAAAAGCTAACAAATTCAAATCCATACAGTGCAATCAGAAGAATATCCTAAACTATATAGCGATTTCTATCTTCTGAAAGACGAGTAATTTGAGTAGATTTAGTGTATCCACGTGAATACCAGATATTGTATACCCAGACAGACGAAACTCAAAAATAAACGGAGAAATACGCGTAGAAATTTTAAAACTTTAACGAAAATAAAATCGGGAACAGCGCACATTTTTACGATTTTTATCTCCGTTAGCTTTCTCTACTGTGACTAACGCGTCGATAATCTGTGCTTAAAGCGTTAAAACTCACAAAATAGCGCGTAAAACCACGTTGAATTCCGCGTTTCAACGAGTAAATACGGAGTAGATTTTAACGCAGTAGAACGCTTTCCAAAAAATTGCGTAGAAACGCGTTAAGAATTCGTAAAACGGCGTTTTTACTTTTCTGATACGTAAAAACGGTGTATTTACGAATTTTAAACGCGTTGTTCTAGAGGTCTTGTCTGTCTGGGCAGTAGATTGTTTTTTATTAATAGTTAATGGTTGATCAGATGAAGTTATACGAAAAACTGTTTTACCCATAACTTGACCACTATTACATCTTAATAATGCTTCTATTACTTGAGATGGTTCATAAGTAACTGTGGGTTCAACAGCACGTAATTTACGTTGAGCAAATAAATCAATTGCTTCTACAAACATATAAGATGAATAAGAGGTGATACATGATCCGCTAGTGAAATAAAATCAATTACATGAAAACTACAATCTGATCGTAATTGAAACATTGATAAATTATTTTTATCATAAATATCTCGTTTACACCATTCAACAAAATGACCATGATATGATAATAATTTAATTGATTCTTTTAATAAATTATCGGATAATGAATTAACAATAACATCAACACCTTGTGGGAGAATTCGACGTATATCATTAACAAAAGAAGCATCTCGACTATTAAATACATGTTCAATACCATAATGTTCACGAAGAAAACGTCGTTTTTCTTCACTTTCAGCTGTAGCAATAACACGAGCACCAGTACATTGACAATATTGAATACACATTTGACCTGCAGCACCTGTTGCAGCATGAATAAGAACAGTTTGATCAGATTGTAAATGAACACGATATTTAAGAGAATAAATAACTGTTAAAATTTGACATGGTAGACCACATAATTGTTCATCAGTAAGAAGAAAATCAGATGGAATACGTATTATAAGTTGAGAATTAATCATAATATGAGAATAATATGTACCATCACCAGTAACATCTACAACATGATCACCAACTTGAAAATTAGTTATTGTAAGACCTACACGTACAATAGTACCAAGAAAATCTGAACCTGGTTCTGTATCTCGATTAACTTTTGGTTGATCTTCATCAGATTGTGCAAAAATACGTGTATGTAGATAAAGACCACGTGATTTGAGTGCATTACGAAAATTAATACCAATACAATGAACACGAACTACTATCATTTCTGATAGTAATAATTCTTTTTCTCTATTTTCTTCAACCCATGTTAATTTCGAA